GGTACTGAACATCGAGATCAAGCCAGCTTCTGGAAGACGCGCAATTTTCCGCGCGCGGTCGATAACTCGCGATTTCCAAAACGGTCGGTAACGGCGCGAACGCTGCTCCGAGCGCCCCCTCGGAACGCCCGCGTCCCACCGCGCCGAGCCCCGTTAGCGACCCTGCGGCGCGATATTCCCCATTACCCGCCTAGGGAATTTACTTCCAACAAGGTCCCCACAAATACCAGTAAACGGCCGTCCCCTCGCGTCGCGCTCCCCCCTCGCCCGGCAAATCGCCTAGGGACTTTTCCCCCCGCAGATCCCCCCCTCCGATGACCCTTAACACTGTCCCTCGACCCCCTCGCTTACCGCTTACGGCGTTCCCCCCGCGGCAGCGAAGCCCCCCCCCAAACCCGCTAACCGCAAACGACATGCCTGAGGTTTGAAGTGCATATTACTCTCCTACTAATATTCTTGTTGTTGTGAGCGCACAACGAATTAGAGATTAAGTAATGCACTTGGCAACTCCGAGTTGCCTCCTATCGGAAATATGACCCTCGCAAGGAAGACCGCTGACGCGAAGACCTGCACAAGTTTCGGGAATGACCAAATATGGTCACCCCGGACATCACCTGCCCGTTAGACCTTTGATCGCGGTATCAAAAACGCTGACAACTAAATCAGCAATACCGAGCGGATAAAGCGCCCGCCTTTCTGACGAGCGGCGGGCAGTCGCTAGTTACCATTTTAGCGGACACGTGCGTCCAATTAACTACTCATAAATCACTTACTGAAACGCGAGTGTTGTAACTAAAATAAAGGGGAACTGTATCAAGGAATAAATGAAAAATATATTTGGTTGTTAATGTTATACATTGTGACGAGTGTTTCTTCTTCGACCCAAGATTCCCAAATCCTGTGCCGACCCTGAGAACAACTCCCGGTACCGGCACAACATTGTATATGTATATATATGGACATTCTCGCCAAAATTTTCACGTTTTGACCCTGATTTACTCCAATAATTTTAGTAATTTTTTTCCGAGAAATGTTCTGAAAAGGAGAAGACACGTATTTGATTGTTTAGACCTATATATCCGACTAATATATCCGATAATGTAATTTTTGTAAAATTTGCTTTTTTCTGTAACTTTACTTTTTAAAACAATGTTGAAAATATTCAATTCTATCAAAAAATGACTGAGATGAAGTTTGTTCACTAAAATGAATTACATAATGTATATATATTTTTTAATTTCTGGACAGTCTAAAGGACAGTCTTGTGTTATACGAGAGGAAAATATCGTTTTTCGTAAAGTTCGTCAATTTTTAAAATAAAAAATAAAATTTGTAAAAATTATATTAAAAATAACGTTTTCGATCTGTTGAAGCATGGCAAGATTTTTTTCAATGATGTTGTGAGGCGGAAGTCGCCGTGCCCGAATTGCAACACATAGCTGTCAGCGCACATCCCGAATATTGCCAAATTCACCTGAGGTGGCATTCCGGGTGTCGCAAGCGGCTTCCAGGTCGCTCACCCGGAAGCAAAAGCGCTGACAGCTAAGTCAGCATCGCGGAAGTAATACGCAAAGAGATAAAAAGCCCGCCCTTCCAAGAAGCGGCGGGCAGTCTAGAACGTAAGGCTAATCGCGCACGACCAACGTAACTTATCTTATTGGGAACGCCCGCGAGTCAGGGCAACGAAATTAACGAAGCTATTGTAACAAGTGACAAAAAATTTTTATTAAAATCTCATCAAACAAGAATCTGGCAACATTATTCCTCCTTCCTCCCGGCGGATCCAAAAGAACTCAGTGCCGACCCCTCGAATCAGAGGCACGGCACAACAATAAGTTTTACTTAATTGAAGTTTTTGTAATAACTTGAATTCAAGGCTCTACTCGGACTAAAACAGTCAAAATGCATTTATTAGTAGCAGATTAATGTTACATATTTTGATATTATATTGTTACGCATTAGAAAAATATACTTTTCGGTATTATATTTTATTGTCCCTTACGATTTTTCTACACAAAGCCTGTGCTACGTTTTATATTAATTTTATTTAATACAGGTATAGTATCCGATATCTTCCAAAAAAGAATATTTTTTTCTCTATCTCGCAGTGTACACACGAGTTGCAGATGTAAGCGCTAATTAAAATTTGGTGATAATTGTATTTTAAAATTAAATTATTCAGCGCTATGTTTTTTGGCGAGTGTTCGCGATCGAACAAAAACCAGCGTCGGCGAATCTACACCACGAATCTAAGAAAATCGCTATTTCGAAATAATTTCGGTTTTTTTCAGAGTAAAGTCGACCAAATTCGCAGAAATATCTATATATTTCCTAGCATACACTTGAAGGGCAGAAAAACAGAGTTCCACTGTGGCCTATATTTACTCGCTCCTTTGTCTCGAGGACTCGGTGCGCAAGGCATACCCCGGGACAAAGCGAGCAAATAATATTTCAAAACAGCTGATCGGTGGCCAGCCTCGAGTTCAGCGTGACGCGCGTCAATACTAATTTCTCGAGACGCCGACAGTGGATTGGCGCAGCTGAATTTTCGGCTCGATACCGAGGGTCCGGAGGATTCAAGAGAATTCGAAAGTCGTGGGAATAAAACTCTGGACCTTCGCGCGCGAGCCCGCAATCGACGAAAGTTTCTCAGAGCGAGCGTGTTAAAGTAAAGTCACTCGCGTATCCGTTGCTTACGATCATCGAGTTCTTGTTTTCACGCGCGGGAATAGCCGTCGTTCGCGTGTATTAAATACCTGTATATAATGTACATTCTTGTATTATAGACATTTCACAACAGAAGACTTTTTACGAATCTTAATTCCTTCCTTCCCGCGACTCCTTCGACCATTCGCGCACATTTTATGGTCCTTCGAGCCGGATCTGCTTGACCGGTATTCGTGAATTGTGTGAGTGAGGATCCTGGTGAGCTTCTCGCGCTTCGAGTGACCGCCGGGTAGAAAACATGAGTCAAGAAGTAGAGGGAATCGTCCGCTCCCAAAACGAGCTGTACGGCCGCATTTCGCGCGCGTACGAAAACTTCAAGAAGTCGGGGCCGACGAAGATCACGTTGGGGCTGGCTGAAGCGCGCCTTCAAGCTCTAGAAGCGAACTGGGCGAAATTCGAAGCGCAAAATGATCAATTGCTCCAACAATCGCAGGAGGCTCTCGATAAGCTCGACTACCGGAAGCAAGACTTGCCGGGGGTAGCCGAGGAAGCCTTCCTGCAGCAGAAAGGAGCGTTCTTAGACGCCATCCGCATCCTGAAGGCCAAGGAGAAGAGCGCCGCCGAGACCGCCGGAGCGGCCGGCACAGCGGAGTCGACTCCCCGCACTACTCTGACTCGTATACAGCTGCCGCATTTCTCCGGAAAGTACGAAGATTGGCCTTCATTCCGCGACTTGTTCCTGTCCATTATCGGGAAGGACTCAGATACAACGAAGGTGGAGAAACTCCATTATTTGAAGTCCTGCTTGAAAGGTGAGGCTGACCTTCTTATTCGCAATGTGCCAACGACGGGCGAAAATTATGAGCGCGCGAGGAAAACTCTGAGTGCGTATTACGAAAATAAGCGATTACTAGTGCGCGCGTATCTCGCTAATTTCATCGCCTTACCGAAGATGAAGGGCGAGTCGGCCGTCGAGTTGCGTAAGATCTTCCATAGCATAAAAGCCACGGTCAGCTCATTAGACAGTATCGGTCGGGCGATTAGCCGCAGCGAGGATCTATTCGTCTATCTCGCTGTCGAACTCTTAGATCCGCAATCGCGTCGCGAGTGGGAAAATTCCATAAGTGCCGCGAGTGAGCCTCCGTCGTATGGATTGCTCGAACAATTCCTCGATCGCCGGTTATATACGTTGGAGTCGATGCTCCCCGTAAAAGCCGATGGTGCCGCGAACAAGGCGAGCGACGGAACGCAGAAATCGACGCGGAGTCACCTCGCTCGAAAGCAGGATGGCAAGGGTGAAGCAAAGCGTGGCCGTTGCTCTCTCTGCCAGAAAGAGCACATACTCATGTTCTGCGACGATTATAAGAAAAAGACGGCCGTCGAGCGGAAGCAATACGTCGACGATAACGGGTTGTGCGTGAATTGCCTCGGGAAGCACAAATTAGATGACTGCGCCGTGAAGAAAAACTGTTACGCGTGTGGGGCGCGCCATCATTCGTCTCTCCACGACGCGTGTCGCGAGCTCGGAGTCGCGAAGACGTCGCACGTAGCAACGGATTCGCCCGTCAAGACCGTGGCGGTGCTTCTTGCCACCGCTCGCGTCCGCGTAGCCGATCGCCACAGTGCTTGGCACACCGCGCGAGCCTTGATAGACCAAGGCTCGGAATCGTCGATGATTTCGGAGCGACTCGCGCAACAATTGAGACTGCCTCGTTTTCCGGTCGTGGTGAACGTCTTCGGAATCCGCGGGCTGCAATCGGGAGTAGCCCGAGGTCGAGTTGCGATGACGCTGTCCTCGCGGAGCGAAGGACGTGCGTTTACAATATCCGCTCTCGTGTTCCCGCGGCTCACCGTGTATGCCGGTGGCATCGAAGCCGGAGCGGCTACTTGGCCGCACCTTCGCGGACTAGAATTAGCGGATCCAGAATTTTGCTCGTCGGATCCGATCGATGTACTTCTCGGCGCCGACATTTACGCGTCGATACTCCGTGCGGGGCTCCGGAAGGGAGGACCTCGCGAACCGGTCGCCCAGAACACGACGTTGGGGTGGATCCTCTCGGGAGTGATCGCTGATTCCGTTTCCGGACACGTCGCGTACGCTCACCAATGCCGGATCGAGGAAGATTTGGTGAGCGTGGTGCGCCGGTTTTGGGAGCAGGAGGAAGGTCCGTCGAGCGCGGTGACTCTCTCGAAGGAGGAAGCTGAGTGCGAGGAACATTTCGTCCGGACGCATTCGCGACGGCCCGATGGACGCTATGTAGTGCGCCTTCCTCTCATCTCGCCGTTGCCGGACCTCTCCGAAACGCGTCGCGTAGCTGAGCGAGTGCTTCGAAGCATGGAGAGTCGGTTCGCGCGGGATGCCGACCTCCAGGCCGCGTACGTGGATTTCATGAAGCAGTATGCCGAGCTGGGGCATATGGTGCCAGTCCGCGGCGACGACTTGATTAGCGCTCGCGTGTGTTACTTGCCGCATCACGGCGTTCTGCGGGAGACGAGCTCTACGACCAAGCTGAGAGTAGTCTTCAATGGCTCAGCTACAGTCCCGTCCGGGGACTCATTAAATCAGCGCCTGATGGTCGGACCCAACCTGCTGCCTGCGCTGACGGACGTTCTTCTACGATGGCGCCGCCATCGATTCGTCTTCGCCACGGACATCGAGAAGATGTACCGGCAGATTGACGTCCATCGGGAGGATGTGGACTTGCAGCGGATTCTCTGGCGGTTCGATCCACGAGAGCCTATACTAGAGTATTGGCTCACCACTGTTACGTACGGCCTGGCCTGCTCTCCACACCAAGCAATTCGTACGACGCACCAGCTTGCCGAGGATGAGAAGCATCGATTTCCGGAGGGAGCAAGCGTCCTGAAGGAGGACACCTACATGGACGACGTGATCTCCGGAGCGAAAACGCTGGCTGCCGCTTTAGAGAAACGGAGACAGTTGGAGCGGATTTGCATGGCAGGCGGCTTCCCGCTGAAAAAGTGGTCCGCCAATGACGAGACCCTCCTGGAGGACGTGCCGGTGGAGGATCGTCTACTGAAGGAGCCTCGAGGATGGCAGCCGGGTGAGAGCCATCTGACCTTGGGCCTGCGGTGGCATCCGCACGACGATCAATTCTCGTATACGACCCAGCTGATCCGGACAGAAACGTTCACAAAACGAACGGTTCTCTCGCTGACAGCAAGACTATTCGACCCACTGGGGTGGCTCGCCCCGGCCACGGTGCGCGCGAAGATCCTTTTCCAGTCCACGTGGTTGCTGGGGATAGAGTGGGACGAGCCGCTCCCGGAAGAAGATGTGCAAAACTGGAGAGCATTCCAGTCTGATCTGCCCTCCCTGGAAGCCATCCGCGTTCCGCGCTGGCTGACGAGCGGGGACGAGGGCTGCCGGCTGGAGCTCCATGGCTTTGCTGACGCCTCGGAGCGAGCCTATGCCGCCGTCATCTATTTGCGAGTCGAGAGAGGAGACGGAGAAGTGAAAGTGAGGCTGCTCGAGGCAAAAACGAAGGTTGCCCCGCTGAAACAGGTAACCTTGCCGCGTTTGGAGCTGAGCGCCGCGACTTTGCTTGTGCGACGAGTGGCTCACGTTCAGCGAGTCCTCGAAGCAAGGAATGTCCCCTCGCATCTGTGGTCGGACGCCAAGGTTGTGCTGGGCTGGATCCGCGGACATCTATCGGCCTGGAAAACCTATGTAGCCAATAGGGTAAGCGAAATCCAGACGACGCTGCCTGACGCAATCTGGCACCACGTTCCCGGGCGAGAGAACCCCGCCGATTGCGCTTCGCGCGGCATATCTTCAGCAGAGCTGGTAAACCACCCGCTCTGGTGGCGCGGCCCATCATGGCTGAGGACCGAATCCAGCCCGTGGACCGCCCTTCCGGAGACCGAGCTTCCTGCTAGCCTGCCGGATCGGCGAACGGCTGTGCACGCGACGGCCACGTCCGCGGAGAAGATCGACGAGCCCTCAGAGTTGACGGGATGTTCCTCCCTGACACGACTGTTACGACGGACGGCCTGGTGCCGTCGCTGGCTGCGGCGATTGCCCCGGCAGAGGACCGTCGCTGACTCTCAAATCAATTTCAAAGCCACGCTCGTACTCCGGTTTTCCGAGCTCGATGACGCCCGGCGTGGCTGGATCCGAGTGATGCAAGAAGCAGCATTTAGCGAGGAGCTGAGAGCGATTTCAAAGGGCGAGCAGCTGCCGGCACGCAGTAGCCTCGCTAAGCTAAACCCGCTTCGAGACGAGCAAGCGATCCTGCGAGTGGGTGGGCGACTCCGGCACGCCCTCCTAGCTCCCGACGCAAAGCACCCGATGATCCTGCCGAGTGAGTCACATTTCACGCGGCTCGTCATCGAAGCGCACCATCGACGGACGCTGCACGGAGGTGTGCAAATGACGCTGAGTTTCATCCGGCAGGAGTTTTGGATACCTCGAGGTCGTTCACTTGTAAAGGGCTGCATCCACCGCTGCTTAATCTGTCTGCGATGGCGGGCGGCTTTGCCGCAGCCGCTTATGGGGGACCTGCCGCCGCCCAAGGTAACCCCATCTCGCCCGTTTCTTAACACGGGCATCGACTATGCCGGTCCAGTATGGCTGCGAACGTCCAAAGGCCGAGGACACCACGCAGCCAAAGCGTTTATTACTGTCTTTACTTGTTTGAGTTCCAGAGCCGTTCATTTAGATGTCGGACTACTCCGCGGAGGCGTTCCTGGCCGCCCTACGCCGATTCGTCGCCCGCCGAGGCCTGTGTCGCGCGCTTTATAGCGATTGCGGGACGAACTTCGTCGGAGCCGACGCTCAGCTGAAAGCCTTGTTCTCCGCTAGCAAGGCCGACGAATCGCAGCACGCGTCGCAGAGGAGAGCATACAGTGGTATTTCAACCCTCCGGCGGGGCCTAACTTCGGCGGAATTTGGGAAGCCGCCGTGAAATCAATGAAGTTGCACTTGAGGCGGGTCATAGGCGAAACGAAACTAACGTACGAGGAGATGACCACCGTCCTTGCGCAAGTCGAAGCGTGCTTGAACTCACGCCCGCTCCAAGCCCTATCAGATGACCCGGAGGACTTAACCGCGCTGACGCCGGGCCACTTCCTCATCGGTTCAGCACTCAATGCAGTACCCGAGCCGTCTCTAGCCGAGGAGTCAACGAGCCGTCTCTCCCGGTGGCAGCTGCTGCAAAGAATTCGGGATCAATTCTGGGACCGGTGGTCAAAGGAATATCTCCACACGCTGGCGCACCGGCCAAAATGGGTCAAAGCTAGCGAGGAAATTCAGGTCGGCCGATTGTGCCTCCTGAGGAGCGAAACGACCCCACCGACAAAATGGCCTCTAGCGAGAATCGAGGAGCTGCACCCCGGGGGGGACGGCCACATCCGCGTAGTCTCCGTTCGAACGGCTACCTCGCGCTTTACCCGGCCCGTGAGTAAGCTCGTTCTCCTCCCCGTGAGCGCCGCGCCTGAGGATGACGTCCGCTAAGTACACTCCCGGTACATACTAACGGTCAAATTTCCATGCTACTTTTTCCTTAATAATTTTCGTTGCTTTGTACAAAATATTGCTTTGTAAAATTATCGTTAATATTGTGCTCATTGTGAGCTCGCCGATGGCGAGAAGCGTAAAGTCTAAACGTACATATCCCCTCGCCTGTGTTGCGAGACGTACTTGCGTTCCATCGCGTTCGGCCAAGCGCGTTCACGTTCTCGGCGCGTGTTCGGTTGCGACGTTACCACAGTATTATTCGTAGGTTGCACCATACGAGGCGGGCGGAATGTTCGCGATCGAACAAAAACCAGCGTCGGCGAATCTACACCACGAATCTAAGAAAATCGCTATTTCGAAATAATTTCGGTTTTTCTGCCTTTCAGAGTAAAGTCGATCAAATTCGCAGAAATATTTGTATATTTCCTAGCATACACTTGAAGGGCAGAAAAACAGAGTTCCACTGTGGCCTATATTTACTCGCTCTTTTGTCTTGAGGACTCGGTGCGCGAGGCATACCCCGGGACAAAGCGAGCAAATAATATTTCAAAACAGCTGATCGGTGGCCGGCCTCAAGTTCAGCGTGACGTGCGTCAATACTAATTTCTCGAGACGCCGACAGCGGATTGGCGCAGCTGAATTTTCGGCTCGTTACCGGGGGTCCGGAGGATTCGAGAGAATTCGGAAGTCGTGGGAATAAAACTCCGGACCTTCGCGCGCGAGCCCGCAATCGACGAAAGTTTCTCGGAGCGAGCGTGTTAAAGTAAAGTCACTCGCGTATCCGTTGCTTACGATCATCGAGTTCTTGTTTTCACGCGCGGGAATAGCCGTCGTTCGCGTGTATTAAATACCTGTATATAATGTACATTCTTGTATTATAGACATTTTACAACAGAAGACTTTCTACGAATCTTAATTCCTTCCTTCCCGCGACTCCTTCGACCATTCACGCACAGCGAGATATATATTTTGTTTATTACTTTACTTGTTTATTTTACATCTGCAACTCATATATATACATTGTAAGATAGACAAAAAGATATTCTATTTCGGAATATATCAAACACTATACCTCCATTAAATATAATTAGTTATAAAATGTAGTACAGACTTTGTATAGAAAAATCGTAATGGACAATAAAATATAATACCGAACAATGTTTTTCTAATGCGTAACAATATAATATAAAAGTAATATTTATACTGTTCGCGATCGAACCTAAAACTGTCGGTCAATAAATACCGCAAATTAAGATAAGCATTGATTTAAATTATCTCGGTCAAATTCTGCTTTCCTGGTTTGCCAGTTGTCCAAATTCAATGTTAAGAATAGATACGCTCGCGGAAATATCGGTATATTTCCTGGTAAGCCAGAAAGGCAGAAAAACAAAATTCCGTATATACCTATCCCGACAAGATAGGTATATGTCTCGGAGACTCGGTGCGCGAGGCATACGCCTGGGGATAAAGCAAACAAGCGGTGCTTTAAAACAGCTAATCAGCTGCCGACCTCGAGATCAGTGACGTTTCGTCAAATACGAACTTGTCGGAGTGTTGACAGCTGATTGGCTCGTATGAATTTTCGGCTCGTTACCGGGAGTCCGGCGGGTTCGAGAAAATTCGACGGTCATGGGAATAAAACCCCGGACCTCCGCACGCGAGCTCGCATTCGACCTGAATAATTCGGCAAACTTATTTCTAGCAAAATTAACGTGGCTTGCATTTCCGTGGCTCGCGGTTTTCGTGTATTCTCTGTAGTCGGTCGCGCGAATATCTGTCCGTGGCTCGCGGTATAGACTATCAAGACTGTAAATATTGTACATAATATCATTTAAATACAGACTTAAGTTATCGACGATAATTCCGTCTAATCACTCTTCTCGCCTTCACAATTCCTGACGCGCTCACGCACATATACAAAAGTATTACTTTCATTCTTTCACAGGCTACCGCATGCCAGCGATCCTGTATTTACGAACACTGCGGCCGCGGCCAAGGTTAACGTGCCGAGCGAGAGAGAGAGAGAGAGAGAGAGAGAGAGAGAATTATTCTCTCTTTCTTGCTCTGATTTAGCTGATCGACACGGATAGATTTATTTTCGATGTAGATTCACGTAAATGCAAGAGAATAAAAATTGGTGATTAGTCCATTACATATCTTCTTCTTGTAACTATAACTTTACTCGTAAAGAACTCAAAGGTGATATGTATATTTTTTCTGAATGTAAAAATTTCTTATGTATTCTTTATTCTCTTATAATGAAACGAAGTAGTATTATATAAGAACTGATATAAATGAATGTTTGAGATCGCGGTAATTGGCATCTCAAACCGCTTTCGGCTGCTAGTCAGCGCATGCACGCTTGCGATAATTAATAGTCGCTTAAAACGTTGCATAGGATTGTCACGGTAATATTCAGCAGTCAGTATAGCATGGACCTTTCGAGATTAGCATTCTGGCAACTTCTCTAACATTGTCATCAACAATAAGGTCAAGCTTTGTTCAACGGTACGAACGACTTATTTGTGGTTACACAACGGAAAGATCCATGCTATAAACAAAGCAGGCGAAAACAGGTAACAATCGCTTCGGGTCGTCACTTGAAAACCGTGACGTAAGCACGGTGACGTAGGCTGCCGGTGGCCAATCACTCTCGCGAAATCATTGGTAACTAACTTGGAGGGAGGTGCGCCTCGGAGGTGATAAAAAAACCGCCGCTGCGCCGCGGAATCGATTTCGCTCGCAGATCACCCGCCTAGTATACCGATACGACCGCTAATACACCGCTTTTCTAAACCGCTTTTCGCATAGATAGTCGCACGCGCTTGCTTTCGCCGTTTTCGCCGCTTTCACCGTGCTAACTCCTGTGCGCGCTCACGGCTTCTGTTCCTTCGCTGGAAAGAAATAAGACTGTACATATTGTAAATTCGTTTTCTGAATATACATTTATTTTTCTGTTACTTGCTGTGTCGTTAATCGTGATCGTCTCGTTACCTCGCGCTACACCGCGCTACCGCGTGCTCTCGAACATTTTGGTCCTTCGAGCCGGATCATACCGGCAACCGCAAACTCGGGAGTGCTTCCTCAACGAAGACGATCATGAATCTTGACCAGAGCTCCATGCTGAGCGGCCAACACGAGCTCTTCGGACGCATCTCCAGAGCTGTCGAAAACCTGAGGAAGATGGGTCAGGCAAACATCACCCTCTCGACCGTTGAGCACCGCATCCGCATCCTTGATGACCTGTGGGCAAAGTTCGAGAGTCAGCACGACTTGATTCGAGCCTGTTACAAGGACCTCTACGCTGAGAGTAAGTACGCTAAGTCCGATTTGCTCACCAACGCCGAGATTGCGTACGTGCATCAGCGTGGCGTCCTGTCCGATCAGGCGAAACGGCTCCAGCCTGCGCCAGCTTTGACGCCTTCCGCGGCATCAGAGCAGGGAGGCGACTGCGCGTCAAGAACTTCGCTGCCCCGTATCCAATTGTCGCAATTTTCGGGTGCCTACGAGAACTGGCCATCCTTCCGTGATCTTTTTAAGTCAGATCGGTGAGCAGTCGTCCATTTCGAAAGTCGAACGGCTGCACTACCTGCGCTTATGCCTCAAGGGGCCGGCTGAGAATGTAATAAAATCGTTAACAATTACGGGCGAAAATTACGATCGCGCGTGGGCGCTGCTCTGCCAGCACTACGAAAACAAGAGAGAGCCGATACGCTCCAACTTCGCCACGTTTACCGCCGTGGCGAAGATGAAAGCCGCTACCGCCGCTGAACTCAGCCGCGTCCTGAACGCCGTCACGTCCGCCGTCAATGCGCAAGAGAGCATCGGAAGGCCCATCGACTCGCACGGCATGGACTTTTTCAATCACCTCGTAGTCGAACTGTTCGACCCGCGAATGCGCCTGGAATGGGAATCCTCCTCGGGAGACTCCTTCGAACCGCCGACTCACGCTACGCTGATGACCTTTATCAACAAACGGATTCTCACGTTAAACGCCGCGAATCCGAAGACCACTAAACCCGCGAATGAACCATCACGGTCCGCGAAAACTCACGTCGCGAAGCGTTCCGAGCCGTCTCAGTGTCCGCTCTGCAAGGGGAACCACTCGCTCATGGGGTGCCCCGACTTCAAGGCCAAGGCGGCTAGTGAGCAAAAGACAGTGGTCGAGACCAATAAGCTGTGCTTCAATTGTCTCGGCAATCATACGGTGGCGAAGTGTCAGTCAACCCGAAACTGCTTCACGTGCAACTCGCGTCACCACTCAATGCTGCACGACGCGTACGTTTCTGCGCCGAAACCAGCCGCGGAAGTTAGCACGCTTTCCGCTGTCGGAAAGGCCGACGACCGCAAAGCGATCCTTCTCGCGACTGCGCGCGTGACTATTGCCGACCGGCACGGAGATCCCCAAGAAGTGCGGGCTCTCATAGACCAGGACTCCGAAGTGTCGATCGTGTCGGAGTCCCTGGTGCAGCGGCTGCGCCTGCCGCGATCGCGCACACGAGTGTCCATCTTCGGCATTGGTGTCTCACAGTCCGGTCCACACGGAGCAAAGTGACACTGAACGTCACCTAGAAGACCACAGGAGCCACGCTCACTGCCGTCGCGCGTTCGTGCTTCCGCGCCTCTCGCTCTACCAAGGCTCCGCGACCAAGTGTAGCACCACGTGGCCTCACCTTCGGGGGCTGCCGCTGGCCGATCCGCGTTTCGCCGCCAACGATCCCGTCAAGTTGCTGCTGGGCGCCGAGGTGTGCGCGACCATCCTGGAGGATGGTCTCCGCCGAGGCGAACCGCAAACGCCAATCGCTCAAAAGACCATCCTAGGATGGATCTTGTCAGGGGGCTGTGGGGCGACCTCTCTCCTGGGGCACCGCAGCTCATTCCAATGCACCGCCGACCATGACTTGGCCGAGCTGGTGCACCGCTCCCGCTACCGCCTTGCTCACTCCCGAGGAAAAAAAGTGCGAGCAACACTTTGTGCGCACCCACACGCGCACACTCGCTGGCCGATACGTTGTCCGACTGCCGTTCGCCTCGCCGCCAAAGAATCTCGCCGAGACCCGCAAGCCGGCTGAGCGACTACTCACGGCCATGGAACGCAAGTGCGTCCGAGATCCCCGGTTCGGAGAGCTCTATCACTCGTTCATGCTTGAGTACGAGGACCTCGGGCACTTGGAAGCCGTAGCACCGTCGGACGAGAACACAACTCGCGGCGTGTGCTACCTGCCACACCATGGCGCACAGTGGGGCGAATCTATCAAAAACCGGATATTGGACGAAAAAATGAAAAACGTATAATTCAAATTTGGACGAGATTTTATGTTAATATATATCCTAAACTATAAATAAATGTGCTTATAATTGATTTTATCTTTTGTTATTTCCTCAAAATAATCTGATAAAGTATGACATTTTCGTGAATACTGAAATTCTAGTAATTTGATAGGTTACTTTCTAAAGTCTCCGCCGAAAGTATAACTGCGAATATGAGTTAAATGCTTATCAGAACTTATTTATTAGGGTTCAAAAAACATATTTATTTTAGTTTTATGTCATTTGAGTACTATTATATATTAATAAATATACACGACATATTCGACTATTAAAAATTTCTTACTTCAATATTCAAACAGGAAGAAAGTTTGTGGATTAGAATGGATTAAGGTTTGCTCTGCGCCATTTGATAGGGCAAAGTGTCTAGTTTTTGGCCATATATGATCATTCATCCCCCTTCGTCCCCCTTTTTGAGATAATTGACCTCAAAGTTTACTCGACATAGTCGAACGTCGTCCATGAATAGCTCAATGGACGAAGTTCGATCACGTCGAGTGAATATGGATGTCTATTTTCTCATAAAAGAAAGACGAAGGGGGATATATAATTTGTTTAAATATTGCTATTTTATAACGATTAATTACATCCATATTTTATAACAATTAATTACATTAATTAATATAATAGCAATATGATAAATATTATTGGATAAATGTATTTGGAGTAATGCGCATTCTGTAAATCCATGGGCCAATAAGATTGCTCTACGTTAAATTATTCGTTCTCCTCGAGGGGAAAGGAAAGGGGAGGGTGGGAAAAGAGGGGAGGTGGAAAAAATAAAAACAGCGGAGATAAGAACTTTTCGTCGGTCTTTCTCAATCAGTAGTCAATTAAAGACTTTTTGATTTTGAAAGTTTTGATTTTTGTCGTTGCTTTATACAATTCACTTTGCGTCCTTTTCAGGATACAGTGAAAAATATATAGAATATATAAAGTATATAGAAGATTATACTTTAACACGCTCGCAAAATGGAAAATTTCCGAACGAATCGTCAACTTTTTAATTGTATGCGTGTAAATAACCTTGATTTATCAAATTATGAGGCTTTAATAAGCCACATAATATCATGTATTGATACTGAATTACCCAAAATCGCGTTGGAACCATTGAAACGAAAAATCATAAATTTCACAAAGAGTTTGAAGTCAAAATGGATAGCTAGCCGTTACGATTACAATTACATTACAATTACGATTACATTGCTGGATTCGTTGTTTCGAATGTTTATTACATATTTCGTATAAATTTAATATTAAATGTTGGTCAGCGAGGAATGAGAGTCATAAACGAGAAGTCGAGCAAAGAAAAAGAGAGATACAGACTGCCTTCAGAACAAAAGCAGGTCTCTTGATAGACTTCGTGAAACAAGGAAAAGGTACATCCAATGATGGCAACACGGCCAGAAAATTTTTTGCTAATCCAGAATTATCAGCTGCCATTACAAGTTTAGATAAAAACTTAATAAGTCGATTTGGAGTTTTGTTGCAAGTAATCACTAGCGGTAATAGGATTAACGTGTTAAAATTCGAATCCTATGCTTTTAGAACTGCCGAATTATTTGTATCATTATACCCATGGTACTACATGCCAATCTCAGTCCACAAATTATTGATTCATGGCAGTGATATTATAAAAAATGCTATTGTACCAATAGGACAATTATCTGAAGATGCTCAGGAAGCAAACCATAAATATTTTAGAAAATATAGAGAAAATCATTCGCAAAAAATGTCGCGAATACAAAATAATGAAGATATTTTTAATAATTTGATGCTTGCTTCAGATCCAATAATATCTAATTCGCGAAAAATTATGGGACATAAAAAGAAAGAATTAACTGAAGATGCAAAATGTTTATTATATTTCAGCGATAATGATGTAGATGATGATTAAGTTCAAGAAATAGATGTGAGAAGCAAAAAAAACAGTTCCTTTTCTATTATAAAACTCACAAAAATTAAACATCCCGAGGTTTAAGACTATCATTAAAAATCAAATTAACTTTATTTTTTAACTGACTTTAAAAAATGGAGGTTCTATATTTAGCGTGTATGTATGTATGTATGACTAAGATTTTCTTTAAAACTACTGAACGGATTTAAATGCGGTTTTCACTGTTCTATAGAGCAATTCTACAGAAAGGTTTTAGTACATAAAATATCGCGCTAAAACATCAGGGTACGGAGCAGTAAGGAAATATGCGATAATAATTATTTATATTAATTTAATGAAGCACTAAAAAAGTATAAAATAAAAAATGTTTCTAAAAATAGAACCGACTTAAAAAAAAACTAAAGAATATTTAAAAAATAAAAAAATTATTTATGCGTGTTCGATATCGTGGGGTCGCAATAGGGATCAGGACGGTGGCGGTGAGTCAGCGAGACAAGATTTGGTAACAAAACAATATATTCTTTGGTTTAAATTACATATCTTATGTTTGCATTGTCTTAGGCGGCGCCTTGAAGGCGCCTAATCAAAAAATATAAGTGCTAATGCACGGTTTTAAAAGTTAATTTGGCGGATGGCCTTCTTTGCAAGGGGCTCGAAGGGGACCGAGTTGTTATTGAGGTCGATTTTAGAGCCCGGGGTGCGAGGTGGCTTGTCCGTCGGTTGATTCGGTGGGTCCACTGGCGATGACGGAGCCAGGAAAGCTCGCCTGATCACTGTCTGACACGCTGTGGTTCGCGTCTCCTTGACGCGGATCAGGTGGAGGGCCGGTGGCCGAGAGATGCGGCAATCCCGTTTCGGGAGCGTCAGTCCAGCTGGCTTGGTGCGGCGCACCTCCGGGAGCTCCAATGGAATGAGCTTCCACGGACGTATAGCTTGTCCCTTGTCCACCTCCCGTCTCGTCGCCTGCCGCTCCTGCGGCACTGGCTGATTGGAGGGACGAGGTTGCACAAGGGCCGGTGGCTCTTGGTGCCGCTCCTGCGACACCGGTTTAGCGGGCTCCGCCTCCTTCGTGTGCCGCTCCTGAGATACTGGCGGGTAGGAGAGGCGCTTCCGTCGTCTCTGGCTCCGCGTCCTGGTTCGGCACCTCTTCCTTCTGGTCGTGGTCGGAGTGGGGTCACTCCGCGCCTCCGCTTCCACTGTGCCGGGCCCGGAAGGGGCGTCGGACTTGGAGGGGGCCACGATCTCCACGATGGCTCTACAAGAGTGCAATGAGCGGAGGCACAGTATATACAGTAGCGCAACTCTCCCGATTTCAGCGTGGATGAAAATGAACTGCACACGCGCGTGCGAGGTATGTAACCAATCACAGCACTGATATTCTGTCTCACTTCTGCTCACTTCCTTTCTGTATTTTCGCTCTCTGTCAGCACCGTTGAGATGCTCCATGCAGGGCAGGACCTTTAAATGGCCGTTCAGTAGAAAGTGGCGGCAACGGACATCTGATGTGATCTGATGCGAGAAATAATAAAGTGATAAGTGGTGATAAAGTGGTGAAGTGATAAGTCCTCAGTGAATAGTGTACAGGTGTTTAGTAAACGGTGCAAGAAAACCGAGAACAAATTATTTTCCTTACGGAGAATAGTTAATCTGTACAAAAATTGTACAGATTCTCGATTCTCTTATAAAGGAAAAGCACTTTGGTCTTAGCTTTGTTGCAGGTATTTGTGAAGAAATCTTGAGGGAAAATCTGGAAGAAAAAAATGGCCCATCAATCAAGCATGTGGTGTGTTGTTCGGGAATGCAACAAAAATATTGTGGAAAAACGACATTTTTTTCGGTTTCCAAAGGAACATGAAAGGTATAATGATTTTATTTCATTTATTAATTATTATTTTTTAAAACAAGTATAAATTTACATATTATAAAATACTATTTTGATATTTATTCTAAACGTATGTATATTATTATGTGCATGCATATGTATATATTATTACAATATTTCTTTACAATTACAAATTTGAATAATATTTACAGATGGTTGCAATGGATACGTGCTTGTGAACGATTAAATTTGGAAGCAATGGGTGCAGAATATGGCCATCGCAATTATCGATTGTGCCACTTACATTTTGAAGAAAAGTGGTACAAGATAAGTAAGAGTAGAGCTCATCTTCAACCAGATGCTGTACCAACAATATTTTTTGGAAGAAAGTAAGCCCATACACATCTTATAATGTATAATCTTTTCTATTTTAAATAATGTGGTTTTTTATATTCAATAGTATATTGTATATTAAACAATATCAAACAATATTTTTGATAATATAATACACATTATAATTAATGATATTATTTATAGCAATGCATGTATTACAACATCAGCAATTGAAAAGATGGATGAAGAGCTACCTGAAGAAGAAAATCTTTATATTTTACAACAAGAGGAAACAAATAGGTACTTAAATATCTGAAAATGTATTTATCTTTCTATTATAGATAGTATTTTGTTCTTATAATTAACTTGTTTTAGACATTTTTTATTTAGCAATAAAAAGTAATATTACACTAAAATGGTATGTTTCAGTGACTTACAGTCGAAATCATTCCCGCCTATAACAGAGCAGATGCCAAAATGTGATAAAGATGTCCATATTATTGCTAAGCCGTACGTATTTGTATTTACATTATATACATACATATGTGTTTTTATAATATATTATTTCTTTTATACAGTTTTTTATAATCAGTCTGTAGATTTTGATTTAAACTTACAACTTATTACAGTCTATTTTATGTTTCTTTTCTTTTAAAAATTGCATTCTGCATTTAATATAACAAGACATAAATAATATTACGTGAGAGTAATTGTATTTATAAAAACATTTGTCTTATTTTAACATGTCTGCATATACATAAAGAACACATGCATATATAAGATAATTTTAAATAAATAAGGTTATCAATACCATATCTATTTAATTTTAATATTCAAATATAAGTTTTTCAAGAGTTTATAATAAATATTTGGTTTATTTTATTTTTATATTTCTTTGTTATTGACATTTCTAAAATTGTAATTAATACTTCAATTTTCTTTTTAGAGGTTTACTATCTGTTTTTTGCTATAATATATGTATATGTTATGTATAGGAGCACGTCCAGCAGCACAATAAGAAGAGAAGAAAGTCCGCGGAAGAAAAAATTGCAACAACGCATTGTACGATTACAAGGGAGAGTAAAAACACTGGACGAAAGAAACAGACGGCTTCAGAAGAAAGTGAAGATTTTAATTGTAAGGAAGAAGAAAGCAGAAAGAGAGAAGCTTAAGGACCACGAGATTCTACGTCAATTAGGCTGTAAGTTTTTTTCTCCGACTTTCGCACGATTGTTATCTGCCCAAATTGATGCGCAAATTAAAAGCAAACGTGGAAGACGGTATAGTTCCGAATTTAAACATTTGCTTTAGGTATATACTTTCTAAGTCCGCGATGTTATAAAGAACTTCAAAAAGAATTAGCATTACCTGCCATACGCAGTCTACATAAGTTTACACAAACGTGGCAAATTAAACCCGGTATAAATGATAAAATTTTTGATGTGTTAGCTGTAAAGTTAAATTCATTGCCACTATTAGAACGTCATTGCATTTTGTGCATAGATGAAATGAGTCTACAAGCTCATTTATTTTACAATGTTTCACAAGATGAAATAATTGGTTTTCAAGATACCGGTAATGATCAGAAAGAACCGTTACCTGCAAAAAGTGTTTTAGTTATTATGGCACGTAGCATTGAAGGTAATTGGAAACTTCCTCTTTGCTTTTGTTTTGTCGAGAATGCATGTAAATTTAATGTATTGAAACCTATTCTATTTGATGTTATACGTAAATTACAACATTGCGGTGCGACTGTGCATGCTTTAATTTCGGACATGG